GGCCTCTCACTGTTGTGGCCTCTCCCGTTGCGGAGCACAGGCTCCGGACGCGCAGGCTCAGCGGCCATGGCTCACGGGCCCAGCCGCTCCGCGGCACGTGGGATCTTCCCGGACTGGGGCACGAACCCTTGTCCCCTGCATCGGCAGGCGGACTCTCAACCACTGCGCCACCAGGGAAGACCCTCAAAGCATCTTTTTACTATCTGCTTAGTATATGTTTAAACACTCATTGCAATGTTAACTTAGCTAAGGTCAAATTAACAAACATTTGAATTAGTGACTAAGTTTTTTTAAAAATGAGATTCTACTATACATGTAACTTAGAAAAATAACTGTATTAAATTAGATTAAATTAGATTTTGAAAAAGGTTTAAAGAAAAGTAGCCCAAAGTGAAAGAGCAAGAGTAATGAAATGAAATCAATAAAAGTTGCTTTTCAGTAGGGAAACTGCATATGAGTCTATATTTTTGCTTTATATTATCTTTAGTCACTTTATCAAGTGAAAAAGATAATTGCTTATTCTATAATAAAAATATTTTCCCTTATTTTTCTCCCCAAAGAATGCACAATTTCTTCTGACTTGAGTGAAGATCCTTATTCTTTAAAATACTCTCTGTACCTCAAGGTCTCCTGTTCAAAGAGTCCCAGGATTCACCTTCTCTAATAAGTAGCAATGACCCCAGTGAATTGTCGATATTAGAGTTTGGAGGTCTTTAAGTACCTTTCATTTGTGTTGAATTAAATCACACATTTCATTAATTATACAGGTCATGCATTTGCCTAGGAGTTAAAATATTCACTTTCAAAATGAAATAAATGAAGACCAGCTGGTCGGGAGGACACGGGGCAAATGCAGGATGTATTTTAGAATTTATTTATTTATTTTCCTTTTAAGTCTTTGAATTCCTCATGTGTGGGGTGGCTAGCCATTTCCACATTTTACGTTTATCTAAACTGGTTTCATGTCTTGCAGCAAAAGTTTCAGGAGGGGGAAGAGTTGATTGAAAGCTGGAGGAAAAATAAAACCCCAGCAGCCTGCTCAGCCCAGTCTCTACACAATAATTAATGGGAGTTATTTTTCAGTAAAATGTGGAGTTTTCAAAACTTATATTATGAACAAAATAGGACTATGATGATTAGGAGGTTGGGATTAATGTATAAACACTACTATATATAAAAGAGATAATCAACAAGGACCTACTGCATAGCACAGGGAACTCTACTCAGTACTCTGTAATAACTTATATGGGAAAGGAATCTGAAAAAGAATAGATATACCTAAAGTCTATGTACACCTGAATCAAGTTGCTGTGCACCTGAAATAAACACAACATTGTAAATCAACTATACTCCAACATAAAAACAAAAAAATCAAAGTTACTTTGGAATAAATGGAAAATCACTAAAAAGAAACAAACAAGAAAAAAACAAAACAAAACACGGTTATTGTCATGGAATGGGTACAAAAAGAGAAGAAAATAGTGTTAGGTTTGTTTCTCTAAATAAGGGAAAGATTCCATGGAAGACTCTGTCTCACCGTTTTGCATGTGTGCCTGTTGGGTAATACCGGGAGCAGGATATGCCATCCCAGGCGCAGTAAGGGTCTCGAGCCAGGCAGCAGTCTGCACAAGCACTTCCATACATGTCACACTGATGGAATCTGACTTGGGCCACGGCAGAAGCAGATCCAATATACAGCTGTTGCTACAGACATTAAGGAAGAGAGAGGCCACTAGTAGAAATGGGCAGAATTCTCACTGAGCTCTTACACCTGGATTTGCACATTCCTACACAATCACCTCTGTGGACACTCACTGGAATGACTGCAGTTACTCAAGAAAGATAATGGAACACTGATACTTTCATTTTCTCCAAGATCTGAAATACTTTTACAGGCTTGGATGCATGAGTAATAAAATTGCTAGAGCAAGGCTGACAAAAATCTCAAGAAGTTGACTATTTTATTCATTATCTAAGTAGAGTCTTTCGTCATCTAACATTGTAGGTCTTTTTAAAAGATCTATAGGAATGTCCAGTAGGAGACTGGAAAAACAAATGGCCTTTTTTTGCATTTTTAATTGAGATACAACTGACATATAACATTATATTAGTTTCAGCTGTACAACATAATGAATCGATATTTGTATATACTGTGAAATGATCACAATCAGTCTAGTTCACCACCCTCATCACACACTACAAATCTACAAATTTTTTTTTGTGATGAAAACTTTTAAGATCTACTCTCTTAGCAGCTTTCAAATACACAATACAGTATTGTTAACTATAATCACCATACTGTACATTATATCACCGGGACTTACCTATTTTATAACTAAAAGTTTGTACCGTTTAATAACCTTCACCCATTTCACCCAGCCCCTGCCTCTGGTGACTACCAATCTGCTCTCTGTATCTATGAGCTTGTTTTTGTTGCTGCTGTTGTTGTTTGCCAATAGTTCACATATAAGTGAGATTATATAGTATTTGTCTTTCTCTGACTTATTTCACTTAGCATAATGCCCTCAAGGTTTATTCATGTTGTCACAAATGGGAGGATTTCTTCCTTTTTTATGGCTGAATAATACTCCACCGTGTGTGCATATGTGTGTGTGTGTGTGTGTGTGTGTGTGTGTGTATAAAATTTGTTTATCCAGTCATTCATAGATGGACACTTAGTTCATTTCCATGTCTTGGCTATTGTAAACAATCCTTCAATGAACATGGGGGTGCATATACCTTCTTGAGTTAGTGTTTTTGTTTCCTTTGGATAAATACCCAGAGGTAGAATTGCTAGATCATATGGCAGTTCTATTTTTAATTTTTTGAGGAACCTCCATACTGTTTTCCATAGTGGCTGCACCAATTTACATTCCCACTAACAGCGCACATTGACATATAACGTAGAAAAGTGATGTAGATATATATAGAGTGATGTGGAATAAACTGTAAGATATGTTACTAAGTAAAAAGTAGATGTAGCAGAACAATCAACATTACATGTTCCCATTTGCCTAAACATAAAAGGTTATTTATAAATAAATGAGGTAATATATGCAACAACTAATTCTGAAGAAATTTATACCAGAAGCTGGTTCCAGTAAAGTAGAAAAGAGGTTTGTGTTTCATTGTACACTCTTTTGTATTACCATCATTACCATTGTGTTTTGTAAAAACATTACCAAAAAAAAAAAAATCATGGAATAAGGTCCTATCATGGTTGTAGAGGTAAACCTACTCTTGTCAACCTTTCTAAAAACAGAAAATGAAGAAATCTATTACCTGTAAACCACTATGTATTTTTGTCAGAATAAAACTGTAACTTGTTAATATATAAGCACACATACTTAAGCTTTCTATCCTTTGACCTTATCTGATATATAGAACACACACACACACACACACACACACACACACACACACACACACACACAAAACTTACTCTCTTTGATGAAATCTCCATAGAAATAATAGGAACTGGATCCTGAAAAATTAAAAAAATACGTTTCCTTTTTAGGAATAAAAATATAGAAACATACCTTAGTGTGGTTATAAATTACCTGAAACCATACTAGGTATGTGAGTTGTTTGCTGCCAAGCAGTCTACAGCTTTCATTTTAGTAAATCAAAAGGAAAATACACTTAAATAAAATATAGCTTTCTTTTAAAATATATTTTCTAGTAGAGTAGGACAAAATGTGGATGAGAATCTAAGCATCTTACAGTTTGTCTCTGGATTATAATTTTTGTGTTTGCATTTGAATATTACTCATGCTCTGGAAACTCAAATATCTTTAAATAAAATAATAAAATCAGAGTGTTCTTTCTTATAAAGAAAGTTGAACCATTAGAAGTAAAACAGTTACATCTTTGAATAGGTCTTACTGCCAATAAACCATGTGATCTTTCATTGTTTTAACCCAGGCCTAAACAAAATACTTTTCTGTTAGAGTTCAATTTCCATGAACCCAGAACACTTTGAAAAAGATGCATTGTCATCATCACTGTCTTAGAATTGCACCAGAGGAAGGATGAATCTACAGGATAGTTTGAGAGCCTATGTGCAATTCTAGGGATAGTGACTGAGAGGACAGTGTCTCTAAGGACACCACAAAGTCAGTCAATTCTGAAAGTGGAGAAGCCATAGGCAAGTGGGATCCGCTCTGTGGATAATTACCCTTCAAACAATTATTTTTTGAAAGAGAAAAACTGATCCTCTCTGTTAAATTTTTAAAACTATTTTAAACTACAGAACCATTTATGCAGGCATGCATTTATTCATTCAAAACACAATGTTTCTTAAGGGCTTATATGAACAAGACACTGTGATGAATGTGGTTAATATGAGAGCTATGATTCCTAATGTGAAATGAAATCTTACAGAGGTCCAATATGCAAAATAAACAAAAGCATAGCTGCTCTGGTTGAGATAAGAATGTGGTTAACTTTGTGCATAGCTATGGGGAATCTAATCTCCAGAAGAGTCAATGCGAAATAAACTGTTTCTCATCAAAAATGTTTTCATATACATTCATCACCTACATATACAATCTTCATTACTTGCAGATTGTGTTCTTGCACATTTGCTTACTTGCCAAAATTTATTTGTAACTCCAATATCAATACTTGTGTTTCGCAGTCATTCACAGACATGTGTGTGCTCAGAATGGCAAAAACTCTGAGTTGCCCAACGTGTACATTCCCAGATGACATCGGTCAAGGTGATACCCTGCCTTCTTGTTTCAGCTCTCATATTGTAAACAGGTATCCTTTTCATGGTCTATTTAGCGCCCCATTTTCATACTGTTGTGCTTTTTGTTAGTGATTGTGCTGATTAAAAGGCCCCTAAGCATAGTGCTGAAGTGTTGTCTCGTGTTCCTAAGCTCCAAAAGACTGTGATGTGCCTTATGAAGAAAACATGTTTTAAATAAGCCTTGTTCAGGCATTAGTTATAGCGCTGTTAGCCATAAGTTCAATGTTAAGTAATCAACTATGTATACTAACTAAGGTGTCTTTAAACAGAAACACACATAAAACAAGGTTATGTATCGATAAGTTGACAAAAATGTCATGACTAGAGACTCTCAGGAACCTAACCCTGTATCTCCCCTAGGAGCTACGATTACTAATTAATTCAGCGTTCAGGGTGACTTCAAAGACAGTAAGTGCCACAAATGTTGAGACTTACTCTGTGTGTGTGTGTGTGTGTGTGTGTGTGTGTCCATATGTACAATTGTTTGTGTCACGTCTAATCTTTCCATTATCGTTTTGTAGTTTTCCCTCTTTTAGTAAATTCTCTGTGTAAACTGCATGCCATAAAAAAGCAGTCTACTCACCATACCACAAAGTCCACAGCATGAAATCTACTGCTATTTTTTAACTGTCTATATTGATAGTAAATTTGTTCAAGATGATACATTGCAATAATGATTCTAGAATTCATTTGTGGGATAAGTGTCATTTCTTTATGTCACAGTTCATATAATGAAATTCTTTTCATGCTCGGTAAATACTGGCCTCTTCACCTGAACAGTCTATGACAATCAAATAGATGTATCAGAATTTTAAATCATTCTTCAATTCACTCTGAATTCACAATATACCTGTTAGAAAAAAACTGACATAATGTTTTTCCTATTTATAACTCACTTGCAACTGTCTGTAATACATAAATGTTGGCTATATTTTTCACTAAAAATACCTTGAATATCTGAAGTTCTTCTAGAATTACTTCTTCCATTGATTCTGTTTCTTGGTTATAAATCGTGATTACTTTCAGCACAATTCCATTATCTGTGAGAAAACAAAAGAGATAAACTAGAAGCTTTGTCACAATCTGGTTTTCAAACAATTAAAAACCATGGAGAGACCATAAATTCAAAATAAGACTTGAAATCTAGATGTACAAAACATTTAATCATTGCTAGTGAAAACAATATGACTACTTATATATTCATATTCATTATTTCAAAAATTTGATTCAAAAATCCAGTTAAAGGTTCAGAAATCAAAATGTCTTTTGGAATTAATGAAATATAAGACAGATGGCAAATTATTCTAGCTTCTTCTGTGATGTATGATGAAAGAAAACTTCTTACCTAAAGCTACCTTCCCTGTAAGAAACTATACCTTTAATCTTATGGAACCTTCCAAGCAACACACTATGGAAATTTATATATATATATATAGATAGATAGATAGATAGATAGATAGATAGATAGGCATATAGATAGAACACGCTTATATCTATATATACTTTATTTTTTCCTTCCAGTTTTAATGAGATATAATTTACATACAGCACTGTATAAGTTTAAGGTATACAGCATAATTATCTGACTTACATACATCATGAAATGATTATCACAATAAGTGAACATCCATCATCTCATATAGACAAAATATAAAAAGAATTTTTTTCCTTGTGATGAGAACTCTTAGAATTTACTCTCTTAAAAAGTTTCATGTGTAACATACAGCACTGTTAATTATATTAATCATGGTGTACATTATATCCTTAGTACTTATTTATCTTATAACTGGAAGTATGTATCTTTACAACCTTTATCCAATTCTCCCACCCCTCACCTCCAGTAACCACAAATTTGGTTATATACACTTTTAATAAAAATTTCAAGCATACACTATTGAGAGAATAGTATAATGAGTCCTCCTGTACAAACCACTTAGCTTCCATAATTATCAATAATTTTATAAATTTACATTCACCTTTTAAAACTCCAGGTTATTTTTATTATTCCTGGTATTCTGAGCTTGTTATTTCCAATGAAAAATTTAATAAGACACTAATTTGCTTATAAGAAAGATTTGGTGTAGTGGCTACAAATAACTTAGGG